TTAAATTTATATAAACTTTTACGTGAATAAGTTTGCAAATTCAAAGCTAATGAAATGAAATGAAAGTAACTGTATAACAAATGAATTATAAAAAATAAAGAACATAAAAATATTACATTACATACTTAATTGAAAAAAGTGAAATTTGAGAAACTTGGAAAAAATTTTATAAATCTGCACTTAGCCAAAAATTAAAAAAATTATTTAAAGTGAGTGAATATTCACAGTGTTTAAAAATTAGTAATAGGGTATCAAAAACGAAAAAAAAATAAAAATTATAAAAAATTAATTGAAAATATTAAAAAATAATATAATTGTATAATAATACTTTATTATAATTTTGCATAAAAAATTTCAGAAAGGGACCATTAAAAAAATTGAAATAAAAAAATCAATAAAAAGTAAAAAGTACAAAATATTCATTGCATAATTGTATATTGCAGTTTTTAACCATTTAAAAGAATACAGAAGTAGTACTTTAGAAAAGTAAAATAAAAAAATTATATATAAAAGCATTGCTAATTTTTGTATTAATATTTTCTTTAATGATTTGAATATATTAATAATTGAAATATTAAAAGACAATCGTGTTAAAAATTCAGAAATAGTATGTTAAAAAGTATTTATGTAAATTACAATATTTTTTATGGTTTAAAATATTAAAAGAAGTAAGTGTAAACTAACCGTGTTAAAGAAATTAGGAATAGTATATTAAAAACCTAAAATAAAATTATATTTAAATTAGTTGCATATTTTTGTATGAATATTTTCTTGAATGAAGTATTTTAGTTATATAAAAAAATCGAAATAAAAAACTGTGATCTTTTAATTGGTTATATTGCGTTTAAATTATCAGACATTTTAATGCTTTAAAATATAATACCGAAAAAAAATTTTTGTTTATTTTTTCCGTTTTTGCAAGTGCATATTAATAAAAATCTCAGAATAAAAATATTTGTATCACTTTCCTGCAGGCATACATAATTTTCTGTCATTCACAATAATTACAACTAAGCTTAAAAATAAATTTTTACATATCATATTAGTTATTAATACTTATTATTATTTATTGCTATAATTTTCCGTTAAATAAAAATTGTTATAATTTACATTTTTGTGTGTGTATATGTAATATTTGCTTGTTTGTAAACGAAATTAAAAACAGAACTACTAAAATATATACGAAAATCTATAAAAACTAAAATAAGAAATCTGAAGCAAACAAAAGTGAATTATAGTAATAAAAAGAGTAATGCACCAATTGTCAGCATAAAAAGCATTCCTTACAATGGTGGGAAATCAACTTGCAGGTTGCGTTCAATGTGTGAGTGAAGTCATGCAAACAAATATTTTTACAAGGGAAATCAAACAGATTTTGTTTTAAGCCATAGATATATGAGATAATAATTATAAATGAAAAAATGAAAAATAATTGTTATAATAAAGGAAAAATAAATTTGATATTGTGATACTGTAGAGTTCTAGTATGTATGCTAGATAAAATAATAATTTTATAACTTATGTATATAAAGTGAGGCCAACTGTAAGACTGAAATGGAATTGTTTGAATGGGTGGCATTAATGTACATTTGAATAATAAATAAATTTAAGCATACAAAGCGTTTCATTTTTGTACAATACTGTATAAAATAAATTATATATAGGCTGTAGAAAGGATTTGTTTAAAAATTCTTTATTTAAAAGACAGACACATTGGTAATTTGAGAACAATAATCGATAAATATGTGCGCGAAAAGTGTTGAATTTTGCAAAAAGGTGTTTTACAGGTTTGATAAATAATAAAATAAAAGTCTGCATTGCGGGTCATGGTTGGGGATAGCTAAAATAACTACTACTAAGAAGTCAGCATTAATTTAGTTGAATTTTGTATTAATTAAAGTTTAAATGTACAAATGTTTTTCTTTTTAATATAACATACATTTATTTTTTACATTAACAATCCTTTTTTATTTAATTTTTTATTTTCTTTTTAAATACACCTGTATCTATGTAAGTTACTAATTATACCTTTGATATTTGTTACCTTTGAAACATGTTAGTTCTTGCACTGTTGCTGGACTAAGCAGGCTTTCACAGTGCGTATAGACAACGCGCAATGTAAAGAAACACGTTAAACGTTTATTGCATGATTTGTGGCGAGTTTCCGTGATAAGTTATGCTGATGTGATTTAATAGTTATCAGTAGAAAAGTAAGTTTTACATGTGTCAATTTATTATTTATTGTAAAAATATAAAAACACTTGCTAGTAATGTTACAGAAGATGGCAAGTTACGACTTCATGTCATTAACTGTGGCTACATGATTTGTTCATACTTCCACAATAATATTACGTTTTTGTGCAGTTGTGAGAGCTTGATAAAAAACAAGCGATTTTAAAATATCTATATATGTTTATATGTACGAGATTTTATTGTTTTCCTATTTGCCAGCATTTCCTTGATTCATGCCCCACATTAACGCCGAACTCCACATCAATTGCACAGTTTCGCCTAACAAGCACAAATGTCTTGCCTGTGATGCAATATTATAGGCGTTTCAAAGAGCTCCTTAATTAAATCAATTAGTACATTGCTTACTGACTTAACGTGCCTATTATTTCGCTTTAAGCTCCTTCTTAAATAATTTCAATTTATGCAAGAGTTATTATTATTTTAACTATATTATATTTCATTCGCTAATATCTATACATTATGCARATTTTACAATTATTTTATATTTTTATTGTTTTATTCATTATAGCTACACATGATTTAGCCAAACGCTTAATTTATAGACGAGTTCATATGTATCATATATAGTTAAACACATTTAATATTTATAATATCTAACTGGTACTAAAATTATATATATATATATACATATATATATAATAATAATATATGTAATACTTACACATTAATTTTAGATATTGATGTTTACTTATTTACAAACTGCATAAATGTGGATTTTTATTTGTTTAATGATTTATGATTTAAAATTAATTAAATCAACTTCCTACTTATTAGCACGAATGCTTTGATAAACTTTCGCAAATTAATAATTTTTTTCTAAAAACTGCAACATGTAATTTAAAAAAATGTGTGTAGAAATATCTCAAAAGATCTACTAAAATCGATCGAGTGACTTGTCACGCAGATCATTTTTTTAACGGCAAACCACTTATGTTATTATGTACGCTAATTTACCGCCCAAAGTAATCACTGTTTTATAGCGATAAATATAGCCTAAACTTCTTGAAACACTATTTTGGCACACTCCTTTTGATAACTTTAAACCCTAACACTAGAAGCCCAGAATAAAAATTAAGCCTAATACTTCATTCAGCTAACTTTGCTTCATTAAAAGCAGCTTTAATAGCTTTAAGTGCTTCGCAGTTTTAAATATCAGCTTAATATAGTTTATTGTCCTAAGAACGTATACAATATGCACTAGATTCGTACAAAGGTACGCGGGAAAAAATATAGGAAATTGCATTTATACATATACCAACGACTAATAACACGGCTGCAAGTTTAACGTAATAATAAATAAATAACTAATAATACCATTTTTACAACACTGCGTAGGCTATATATATATTTATATATTTAAATTTCGTTTTATTAAAATATTAAATTTTTTCGCATAAGAAGTTTGTTTATGCCTGTTCCTTATATTGTGCATATCCTATTTTTGTTTTTATTGTAATTATTTTCTTATTTATAGTGTGTTATATTTTTCACTCTATTATTTTATTCTATAAATCATTTACTATTAATTTTTACTTTACAATAAATAATATCATATATTAGATTCCCTTTAGTAATTGTGTTTCGCTGTGTAAACACTGCATGATTACACAACCGTTCAACTATAGATATTTTGCAATGTCAACGAAATATTTATCGACATTTGTTACTACCGTTTAATTTCAAATGTTGGTAAACAATGAAATTAGCGCTTTTTTTTGTTCTATTTTGTGGAATTTTGCATGGAATATGCATTTACTAAATTAAAAATTTCTTTCCCCTCTTTGTTACGTACAAAATCTTTAATAAATATTGGTAAGTGTTCAGAAAAAACCATTCAAAAGTTCACTGTAATATGTTTATCAAAATTTTGAGTTGTTCACAAGATTTATTCGTTGCATGGAAAATGTACATTCCGTGGAGAATGTTCGCGTTTGTGCGTTCTGCAGTATGTCGTAGGGATTTCCTAACCCAATTTTATACGGCTTTGCCTGTAAATTGTTTTGGCTTAAAACTATCAATCTGCTTTTTATTCAGTATGTTGCTATTTATACATTTATTATGTATAATATTTGGCAGTGTTAGTCAGAATGGAGATTTTGGAAAAATAATGTTCTGATAATAAATAAATATATAAACGGATATAAACTAAAATATTTATAAAAACAAAAAAATTATAATTAATAGAAAAAGTAGATGATTCTAAGTTAGAATATAAATTGTGATTTATTAAATAATAAATATTAATTCAAAAGTTAAAATTTGTATGGAACTAAAAAACTATTTAAAAAAGTAAGAAATAATCATAATTGAAAAAATAATAACAATTAATAYAAAAATAAGTATTTCTATTAAGGTTAAAAAAATAATATACTATTTATTAAATAATAAATTAATAATTGAAACATTATAATGGTTATGCATCCCCAAAAAAAATAAAATAAAAAATAAAAAATAATAAACAAAAACTCATTTCTCCAATGTTGACCTTTTATTTTATTTTAGAGTTACATGTAGTATATATATATGTATGTATAGTATGTATGTACATAAAAACTGTTGCTTGGTTTACTTTGAGTGAATACGGATTTGTTATATTATATTTTTAAAATTGCCGTCTGCTTTCAGTAAATAAATGCGCGCGGTTTAGAGCTGAAGGCATACATAGATTAAAATTAATTAATAACAAGATAGTGTTTAAGTAAATAACCAGCGTATAACAAGGTTTATTTAAAATTTTACGCTATATGAAGAACAAATTTACTAGTATATTATATAATATATTATGTATGTATATACAAGTGAAGCTCATATTGCCTTATTAAATTGTTGTTAGTTTGTACAATATTTTTTACCTATTTATTTTAACAACGCAAAATATTTGCTAAAAGGTAACAGTAGAAGCACACATTGTTAAAATATTTAATTTTTTATGTTTTTATATTCATTGCACAAATACCAATTATAATATAAAAGCTGTCTAATATTTCATTTGGCTTTTGCTATTTTTTTCGTTTGGTATCTTTTGTACAGTAAAATGGTATACAGATTGAAGCAACATACACACAAGTCTTATATGGAAGTGTACGGTTTTTCATTTCGGTTTACATACATAAGTGGTATATTTAAGTATGTACGCGTTTATCTACTTTTATTTACAAGTTGCTTTATTTAAATTTCTACTACTACATTACTGCATCTACTCCATTTCTGGGCAGCTAAGCGCTTGCCCAGCTTAGTAAACGGCGGTGCTAATCTAATTCACCGTCACTGTGGTCCGCGGCATGTTGCCAATTTTCAGCAGCTGTTGTTGTTGTGGCCACGCGTACGTTGCAATAGTCGCCAGCGCTATTAGGAGTATGCAATGTTGCCACTTTTGTGCGTAAGTCTTTGTGCCACGGATGCTGGTCGCCGCACCATTATAGGGATTATCTAGAAAAGCACGTGCAAAGGCATTTTCGATTTGTGGTTTGTTTGCGTTTTTTAAATTTTTTGTTAAATTGTTTTTTAATTAATTTTTTTTATTTTTATTTTGGGTTAGCATTTTAATTAAGGGTCAGCAGCATGTTGTTATTGTTTTTTTTTAGTAAGTGTGCGTGAATTTAAGTGGAAGAGAAAAGTAAAGAAAACACAAAGTTTAGACAGAGCGACAAAGGAGCTGTGAAACAGTGTAGCAAAAATAAACGCAACAACTTTGCGACTCTTGTTAATTTTTTAGAAAGATTCACAATGTTTGTTGTAGTACAATGTTTGTTGTAGTATTGTGACTTGATGAGATGAGTGGGTTAAATGTTTGTCGCTTTTTTGTGCGCTTAAATCGTTGTATGTATGTAAGTGTATGATGTTTAAGCGTTTTGAGGTTTGGCGTTGGCAAGGAATACTTTCTTTTGTGTGAGAAGAGAGTGTGCGTAAAGCAGTGTTTTGCGGATGTGGCGCCATTAGCACAACTTTGCGCACTTTTGTATTGTGTTAATGCGTATTTGTGTGGGAAATCTCATTTTTGTGAAATGATACAAACTTGCTAAACGAGCGTATTACAATAACTTGCCACAGCTTGCGGGCGCTGAGTTTGTTTGTAGTGTTGTTTCGGCAAAATACTTGCAGTGCTTAATGGGGTGAGTGTTAGCAATTGTGGCTAGCTTTAGCTTTAATTTTGTATTTAATTTAATTTTTAATGTCAAATGTTGATAGTTTGTGTTTATGATAGCAGTTTCTGTTAGTCCAATGCGTAAAGTTTTCCAATCGCTTTTAATTGCGGGCGTTGCGGGATGTGGCTATAGCACTAATTAGTATTTATTGTTTTGGTTTTCAATGACACTTGTGATTTTGCATGTTGTTGTTATTTTTGCATAATATGACACTTGTGAGTTTGATATTTGGTTAATTTTGCAGTGTGATAGTAAATGTTGTTTGAAATTTGCACATTTTTACCTGTTTCTTTTTATATAACAAAACACATAATCTTAATGGCACACGCTAAACACTTACGAAAAATAACTGTTTAAAAATGGGTGTTTAGTTATAAACACGGTTACACCCATAAAAACACGCACTAAACATATTCCAATAAGAAGAAAATATAGTAAGTTTGTTAAGTATGCAAATCAATAAATTTTCAATGATGCGACAGATGAAAATCATATTAATTGCGGGGGGAATGTCAACAACAAAGAAACCTTATGAAATAATGACTTAGTTTAGGAAACTGCTAGAAAAAATATATATAGAATAATAGATAGTTCCATGTTAAGTATATATAAAATACTGAGTAAAATAGCTTAAAAAGAAATAAAGCAAAAAACCTTAAACTTCTCCTGCACCGAATAAAAATATTTTTATGTTAATTTTGACCGGTCAGTTTGTATGGTAGCTAAACGCTATAGTGTTCCGATCAGAACCATTTGCTCGGAGGTTGTACCGTCACGTTGCACGTTGGACCGTGCAAATTTTCATGAAGATACTTAAATAACTCAAATAAATAAATTTTCCATACAAATGTTTTGTATGAGAGCTATATGCTATAGTGGTCCGATCAGATATATAGACAGAGAGGCATTGCTTAATCGACTCAGTTCGTCATACGGTTCATCTATATACATATGTACTAAACATACATATATACTTTATAGGGCCTCTGACGTGTCTTTTTGTGTCTTAAAAATTTCGCGAGAAAATTAATATATCATGTTTAGGGGATCATATTTTAACAAAATTATTAAGTAGTTATTTTGAAATAATATTTTTTTTCATAAATATGATATGGCTAAATACAGCCAACAATATTACTTATTAGTTTACGTTATATACAATATTAATTTTATATAAAACATTGATTAAACAAATTGCTACAACTCTCCGCGATTTATTTTCATTTTACCAATTACCAACTAAAAGTTTTTCATTAACGATTAATCGTGAAATTCGTGCGTTGTATACTAAATGTGTTTTGTTTTCAACTTTCCTTCCTAATTTTTAGTATAATTTTGAGTTTGAATATCAATAAGCAGTCTCTTAATAAATCCGTTATTTCACGAAAGGTCATTTAAAACATTTTGAAAAGTTGTTAATAGCTAGTTTACACTGTTCAATTGTTGTGAGCAACCCATTGCACGTAACGATTTTTTGACTTGAACTTTTGAATATTATATAATTAATTCCTTTGAATATTATTACCGTAATATATTCATTAGAAAAATAGACTTACGGCAAATAAAAACGTTGTTTTATATTCTAATTCTTAATTGAGACCCTTACTCTGTATTACTGAGGACTTAGTTTAAGTAAAAGATGTCTAAAAATTTTATAAAATAAATTAAATAAATATAACGTAAATATAAATAAATACAATAAAATATAAATTTAATTAGAATATGTCGAAGTTTATTTAAAAATGTATTTATTTTACATATGTATATACGATTTTAAATACTATTATTTTTAAACTTTATATAGCAAAAAAAAATATGAGAGCATATACGAAATATATATTGATAAATAAAATTTAGCAATTCTAAAATAAAAATATGATATAATATAATATTTCAGTATATTTTAATATAATTAGTATAATTTTAATATAACAAAAAAAGATAAATAATTATTTATAAAATATACATATGTATATAAAATTTCGCAATTTTTATATATAATTGCTTGGGAATATTCGTAAAAAAATTGTACGACTTTAATATTTTAAATAGCCCTCCTAATGACGAACAAATAATTAGTTAAAAACAGTTGGCCATATAATAAATAATACCGTTAAGAATTTTTGTTTCAAATTACATAGATAGTACATAAAATGCATAAAGGAAATTAAAAACAACGTCCACTGACAGCTACACAATACAAACATATAAAGTAATAGAGAAAAGTGAGAAAAATGTCAGAAGGTTGTGAGTAGACAACGGTACATAAAATAGCTACAACAAAATAGTTACCTGCATACATACATACACTCAGAGAAATAAAAGTATACACCAAATTACTATTAAATTCTTACAATACAAAACACACAATGCAAACATACAAAGGAGATTGTTAAACGCACACAACGCATGAACGAAGTACGAGCGAATGAGCGCGCGTAAGAGCGTCAAATATACGATTTAACTCAGAGCACAACAAAAAATACTGTGAGTGGATGCTTTTTGATTTATAAATAAAAATGCTATTGTTTTTTTTTTTAACTCTGTTTTAATTAATTATGTAATATAATCGTTTGCTTTATTTAAAAAATGAAATTAAAAATTGTTTACTTATTAATTTAACTAAAAAATATGTATTTATATAATATGTATTTATATGTTTATAAAAAAATATTCAGTGAGCGTAAACAAATTAGAAAGAGAGTGTGATAGTATGTGAGCGCAAATATGTAGAGCGGAATTAAAACTTAATAAATATTAAACGATAGTAAGTTAATATATTTAACCAATATTTTTCAGTTTACTTAAGTTAAATATATGATTTTTTGTTTAATTTCATATAGATTCACATAACTATTCGCAGATATATCGAATTTTTTAATTTTTTACATAAAAATATGCACACACAAAAATATAAATTACAACAAAAGTTATGCAATATTTACGCGTATACAATAGTGGCTGATAATATAAATATATTTTTGATGAAATGTTCCAATTATTTTCAATTAGAGTGGCTAAGCGATTGTATTTGTTTGGTGGTGACTGCTAACTTAAGTGATTTTTAAGAGCACTCTAGAAAAAAGTAACAATTTATGAGTTTTGTTGAATTTGAAGTTTTCTTGTCAATCTTGTATGGTGTGCGTATACGTAGTACGTACGTAGTACATGCATACGTGCGTAGTATAACGATGACACACCAAGCCATCACCCACAAATGATTAAGATATTTTCTTTTTAATTTTTCAGTTTACAAACTATTGAATTCTAATACTTTTGAACGCCAGTGTATTTCGCCATTTCACTAATTCACATATTATTCTTACTAGTTCATACTATTTTGAGCGCAACTGAATCACTTTACTTAGTAGCTTTAAAATGTATTATAATATTTAAATTAATTATTGCATATTAAGTAAAAATATTAAACATATTATATATATGTATTTTAAAGGAGCATTAAAAACTAACTTAAAAATAGCGCATTTTTATCAAAGCAATTTTTCTTTTTTTCTTCAATTATGTATGTAAAAATGTAATGGAATTCAATTTGAGATTACTAATGTTGACGCGCTTAGGTATTGGCAACAACAATGCCTAGCATATGATAAGATATTCAAAAACAAAAAAAAAAAAAAAGTTATAAGATACAATAAAGGTAAAAGAAAAAAATATTTTTTGCAGCAATAAAAAGTAATGAGCGTAAAACATACAAACTACACAATTTCGACAGACAAACATTGAAAGTTTTACATAAACTTGAGCAGACAGCAAGCAGTAACATAAGAAACGGTATATGAAAACGGTATATTGATATTCTTCGACATTTGGTTGAGTTTTGTTAACAAAAAAATGGTTTCAAGTTAAGAGAGCACATAAAATTTCACACGAAATGCAGCACAAATTATACGGGGGTTAAATGTGACAAAAGTGTGTGCCCTGCATAAGGTATTGGGGTACACGAAACAAAAATATTGAAAAGAAATAAAAATTAAATAAATACGAGTACATATATTTTGTAATTAAGTAGTAATTGGTATAATATTGTATGTAAGTGTATGAGCAATTTTTTCGAATTCATTTTCGATTTGRAAAATGTGTGGTTTCGCTTTAAATGTTATGTTAATATTTGTAATGTTGTGTGATATTGCCTACTTTCACGAGAACTTTTTGTATAAAAAATTTTTTTTCGCACTTAAATTTCATGCTTGTTAAAAGTATCTACATTTTTTCAGTGTATTTTTGTTGCATAATTTAGTTTTGAATGGAGGTATTTTAATTTACGTATAATGGTTTATAAACTGTTGCTGATTGCTTTAAGTTTAATTTTGCAGTTACAGTTATGGCTTGGAATTTTGCATTGAGCAGGAATTGTTTGTCATTGTAAAATCCGATAAATGATTTTGAAATGTTAATTTTGTAAAAGAAATTGTATAATCCTTAATAAGTTACATAGAGTGTTCACCGAGAGTTAGTGAGAAAATATACATGAGCGGAAAATTCCTAAAACAGTAAGTGTACCGAAAATTCATATATTGAGCACAATTAAAAAAAAAATATATATATATTTTAATATTTTTTGTCTATGTAATAGCAATTCGCTGAATTAAGAAACTTAAGAAGTCATAGGTGTTATACTACAATTCAGCTGTTACTGACATTTTGTGATTTTTCTGTCAGCAAACTAACCGTTATTTTCGAATTCTCCCAATAAATACGCATTTTTAGCTAGAGCGGACAACATGATCACCTGTTTTCATTAAAATTATTGGGGACTAAAAATGCTGTAAATATTTTCATTGCACTTTATGTGCGCTGAATGAAATTGCTCTTGGAATAAGTTACAGTTATTGTTATTGTATATCTAGAATCGCGGTAACTAAAGTAAGTTTAGAAACTGCTAATTAAACATTTCAAAACTAAATCATGCATTGTTAGATACGAAAAATCTTAAATCACAAAATACGCTGAAAAAAAACAATCCAAACACAATTGAAGCAACTTTTTTTTTAATGATTTTGTAGAAAGTACCATTATTTTAATTTATTTTGTTCTAAAATTAATATCTATATATGTATATATATTCGCAAGACACTACGCTTCAATGTAAGCAAATTTTAATTGTAGAATATAAGTAAATTATTTTCAATTCCTTTATAAAATCAAATCTACAAAGTTTTTCAGATGCAAGTTTACGATGTGTCTTTAGCTTTCATGCTACTCTAAAAAAATATATGCTTTTGTCCGTATTACTTCCTTTCAATTGTGTTTACTATTACTATTGCAATTACTTTAGAAAAACTTTTATGTAAAATTGTGAAATTTTAACGTTAAATTCGTTTACGGTTTCTACGAAATTTTAGTGTGATTTTTTTCGTATGTTTTTTTCTTTGCAACATTAAGCTAACATCGTTGCTACAATGCTAATTAATGTTATGCATGTTGTTGTTGCGAGAGCAATGACAGTTGTTGTTGCTGTTGTGATGGCAGTTGTTGCAGTTCTCGTTCCGGCTGTTCTCGTTGTGGTCATGAATTTAATGTAGTGTTTATGTGGCGAATCGGCCGCCGAATTATAACCGGCCGAATACAATAATGTCCCCAGATTATTATTAGCAGAATCGGACTCACCTCGTGTCGTCTTCATAACAATCGATGCTGGTGATGAGAAACCGATCACATTGTGCGCACGCAATTCGATGCGATAGTAGGTGTTGCCACTTAGACGCGACATCTCGTACGATGTGGTCTCGACGACATCCTGCGAGACGCATTGGTTTTCCAGTTCATGCCAAGTGCCGGCCATTTTTACGCCCTGCATTAGAGAAGAGAGAGAGAGAGAGAGAGAGTTAAGAAAATTCAATATCAAGAGCACATCTAATATTTTATTGTAGTGTAACTTACTGGGCAGTATTTGATTTGATAGAAATCGATGGGTTCACCATTGTCAGCTGGCACGCTCCATCTCAGCTCAAAGTGGTCGGAGTACGGCGACACTACAACGGGTTCTTCCTTGTCATTTTGCACCGGCGAATGCAGTGGCTTGGGTTCCTCGGGCGCTGAACGTCTGGGTGTCGATTGCTGTTGGTTTACGCCCCACATACCCAAACCGACTTGATTGCGTGCCGCAAAGCGAAATTGATAAGCTGTCTGTGGCTTCAGTCCTTCCACGATGTAGGGCGAATCTGGTGACCAGGTACGATTCAGTGCCGTCGACCAATCTGGGTTAATAGCCTCTTTGTATTGTACGCTATAGGCGGTGATGGGTAAACCTAGTTCCGTTGCTGGTCCGCGTATATCAAAGGTGATTGTTGTTGCGGTGAGTTGACGTGGTATCGCGGCGGCAACTAGGTCGGGCACACGCGCCTCTTTCAATTGCATATCATGCTCGGCGCTACCATGTACATTAGTGGCAATGCATTTGTAAACAGAATAGTATTGGCGTGCTACAGGATGCACAATCAAATCGCTACGTGGCCCGGTACCGACAATGACAAGATTCTTATCGTAAGCATCCTTAAGTGGGCGTCCATTCCAACGCCATTCGATTGTTGCATTTGGTATGCCTTGTGCCAGACAACTGAGATTGGCTTTACGTTCTTCCCAGCTAAAGACTGGTGGCAGATCCTTCATGTGCGAAAAGTCGGGTGCAAATTCAACAGTTATATGTCCGGTTTTGTAAGCGGTGTCACCCTTATTGTGCGCAATACATTGGTAAAGTCCATCGTCGTTACGTGTAGTACTTGTAATGCGTAGCGTTCCTGTGCTTTCGCCGCGCTCCTCATCAAAATGTTGCTCTAAAGAGATGCGTTCATCATCGGCTTGCAAACCTGGTGCGTATTCTTCCTCAGTTCCCCAGCGTCTGAAGGTGACAGCGGGTGCGGGACGTCCCTTGGAACGGCAAGTGATAGCAATTTCTTTCTTACTCACACCAGTCACATTGTAGAACTCGTAAATTTGTGGACGCACCAGTACATTCAATTTGGTTTTCTTATCTACCACGCCGGCATCGTTCTTGGCTATGCACGTGTAGGTGCCATAATCGTCTTGTGAAACTGAATTAATGGTGAGTAGGCCAGTTTGGGGGTTCACTTGGAAGCGATCGGCCGTGGCGACATTCTGTTGAGCGGCGTCCTTTATCCAAGAAATCTCTGGTACTGGTTTGCCAGTGGCGGTACAATTCGCGGCAAAAGGTTTACCTTCAACGGCCTCGAGTGTGGCTGGTAAGTGCGTAATAACCGGACGTATGTAAACTTCAACGCGTATGGTACGTTCAAGCAGTTCACCAGTTTCAATTACAGCCGCACGGCAAGTGTAAATACCATCATCGGATTCTTGTACATTGCGTATGAGCAAACCGTGCGCTTCTACAACGTATTTATCACCGGTACGAATCTGTAAATAATGTATTAAATTAGCTGGAATGGACTTGAGTAGATAATCTAGAAACAGGTTACGATTAAATTTCCACTAGCCCTAATGTTGGAAATGTTGAAAATGTTGAAATATAGTAATACGTATGCACAGATTATAGTTCTTTGAAGTTCATGTTTCAAGACGGATTTATAGAAGACGAAGGCATGAAGGGATCTCAAAAGTCCAAATAATAAAATTAATTAATTAATTTATATRTTTTATTTATCCACCATAATATATGAGATTTAAAGCATAAAGCTCAATATTGAAACGAATAAGGTTTCCATGTATTTTTGAGAGACTGCATCGATTGATAAGCTCCAGCCGTACGATCCAAGGCAATGGTGCGATCTATAAAGGAATTGTTGTGATCGGACCATCTTAGCATATAAGTGGCTGTTATATAAACTGTACGGACGGAATCAAGTAAGGTTAGGTTAGATGGCTGATCTAGAGAGATCGCACGTTGACTGCTATATATACGAGTAGTTCTTTGTGAAGCCATAGAAAAAAAGAACTTCTGCGTTCGAACTTATAAATTTGCACAGGCGTTTAATTTCCATTCTCGCCAGTTCGGTAGGATGTCCGAAGGTATGCGCCCTCAAATGTTTAAGCCCTGATCTCCGAAATGCGGGACAGTCAAGAAGGAAGTGTTGAGTTGTTTCCATCTTGTCTATTCCGTATGGTCTCTACAGGTGACGTCTGGTAAGATTCCCAGCCTTACTGTATGAACGCCAATAGTGCAACCGCCTGTTAAAAGCCCCACAACAAGAGAGAGGTTAGCCTTACTGAGGGTAAGAAATCTTGCGATCGATCTTGTGGTCCAGTGCTGAACAAGTTAGTAGAACACAAGAGGTTACGGGAACACCGCTTACATTCTACTGATACCGCTTCTGGGGTGCCTTCCCTTGCTACCTCATCAGCTTTACAGTTTTCTACGATTCCGCTGTGGCCTGGCAACAATACCAGTATTATCACAAAGAGATTTTTTTTTATTGATAGCGAGGTTAGGCACCCCTTGATTAGCGCTGACCGCACTGTTAATGTGTTCAAGGCTAGTATCGCCGTCCTGCTATAGCTTCGGTTCAAAAAAATTTACGGTTTTTTTTTATAATTCTTTAAACTTTTAACTTAATAATGCTCTACCGTACTTAACCAACCCATAAGTATCCATTATTATAACATAAACGCAGATTATGCTAGTTAATTTCACTCTTCATATGCAAATTTTCCGCATATTTCCTATGAGAGCCAAAGTATATGCATATATATTTACAGTGTAAACATGAAATTACATAAAAACACTTAACAATTTCGTTAAGTTTCGTAAAAGTCTTATAAAAGTCTTAGAAAAACGCTCAGTGACAAGCTAAATTTCAATTTATGCAAACGACAATTTCATCTACATGTACATATGTACAATGTGTCTATGTGTAAACTATGCAAAGTATTATATAAGGTTGTGCCGCAAGTGCTGAGTAAAAAAGTTGCAAAGTCTCAACATTATTATTAAGAGCAAGAAATTTAAGTTTACTCAAGTTTTTGCAACACGCGCTAACATACTGACGATGGAGTGCACAGAGTGTATATATGTATATGTGTGTGGTGACGAAAACAACAATATATTTTAAAAATTGTGCCCTTTGGGTTAACATTTCGTAAGGAAGATGCTGCTTACGCCACTCTTACAGTCACTACACACTCATATACACGCGCTTAGTTGTGCAGTTATTTGATCGTTGTTGTAGCATGTCATGTCATAGCATAGCGTCTCTGCTGTCGTCGAAATTCCTAAGTAAATCATGAAGTTTTAATAACATCCTTATGCACTACTTACCGGATCACCGTTGCGCAGCCAGTCTATGGTTGGATTGGGATCGGCCTTCACTTCACACTTGACAGTGTAGTCCTCACCGAGTATAGGGTATTGATTCTCCGGAGCATTTGTCCATGTTATGGCGACTAAAAGTAGAAGACAGAAAAAAAGCGAATGAAAAGTGATGCCATGAGAAAATTCCAAAATTCGGAAAGAAGCTGCAGCAGCAGCTAAGTATAAAAGCGCATAAGGCAGAAACGCACACACACACTGACAAAATGTAAAAGCGTAAACTTGGCAAAAAAAATAGCGTGTGCAAAATGCATTGAACACGCACAAACAGCGCTGACAATGAGTGGCTGGATTAGTATGTAGTGTGGCAGTTGTAAGTGCGCAGTCGGCGTAGCTGCTGGCGCTGCACAAGCTGACGATGTCGCGCTCGTGGGCGTTGCTTAAAAAGTCAAAGTCAAGCAAGCGCTTGAGATTCGGCATGTTAGCTGTTAACACAGGCTGTAGTTGCCAACATTTATTGTTGTTGCTTTTGGCATGTTTGTAAAGAGTGCAAGATTTGAAAAACATGAAATGTGAAAGGAACAGAAAAAATTATAAAAGGAAGTAAAAAATTTATAACAACTCAAATCAAAAAAAAAAAAAATTTAAAGGAATAAGAATTAAAGCGAAAATAAAATAAATCGTAGAGTTTTAATCTCTATTTGAAATACGATTACTCGCTTTATTTTTATACCCTAAACACAGCATGTTAAGTTTGCCACGTAGTTTGGAACACCCACGAAGAAAGTTCGGAGGCCCTATAAAATATATACATAAATTAGCTGCATGACGAGTTGAGTCAATTTAGTCATCTCTGGCTGTTCGTCCGCCCGTTTGTTTGTCACACATACTTTTATCCGCAAGCAGCTGTGCTGTTGGTACCGACGATATCGGCTCAGAGCATATAGCTGTCTCACAAACTGACCGATCAAAATCAAGTTTTTTAAACAACCTTTTAGGTTTGTGAAGTGTATTGCAGCTTCGGTGCAAACGCAGTTAACGATTTTTCTTGTTTTTATTTATTGATTTGCTTTTATTTTTGGCTGCGCATTGCAAAAGCACTTACAATACATGTAATTTCTATGTTGTTCGTGCAATTTGTGCAATCTTTACACAAAACTACACTTTGCTTTTTACACATTGCGCTGTCGTGCCACATAGCGACTTATTTGATGACTGTTCCTTTAGTTGGCCTGTCCAGCCAGCCGTCGGGAGCAATTGGAAAGCACATTGCAAAGCCACTTGCCACTTGCCGGTCATCGGTGGCTGCCTGCTGGCGACCGGTCGTTGCACCAACACGCTACTTGATTGTGTTAACAAGCTGAAATGTTCAGATTATTTTCCACATCTCTTCTGCGTTTTTGTTGGTTTTGTATTTTTCACTCAGCTATTTGTTCGTTGGCTTCCTTTGTGTTCTGAGCAGTTGTCATTGCAAAGTGCAAATAACGAAATGCGTTATCAAAATGACTGTTTGATGGTTCTTTTGTTGTTGCTATTATTATTGCTATTGCTCGTGCCACTTTCGGTGTCGCTGGTGGCAGCTACTCTGTAGAAGTCGGTCGTCTTAAGGTGGCGACACGCCATGCAGAATATAAAAAATTGTCTTTATACAAACATACATGCATATATGTATTGTTGCACACATATAATCTTCTACAAGCAGGCACTTTCCTGTCTGTTACAACCACGTTCCTTGTGGTTTGTTTGTGTTTGTGTAACATACATGTTCTTTCCTGCAATTTGTCTATCTTATCACGGCATATTACCGTCACTTTTGCTTATTCACTCATACGTGCGTACACAAGCATGTAAATATCTGTGTATGCGTTTAAATTGCTTTGTGTAGGCAGTTAGATGAGTACTTGGTTGGTATTGTGCAGATAAGTCCATTCTAAGGCGTTAATTTGATTGAGTTATTCCCTTACAAATAATTACATGTGTGCGGCAGGCTCAACAGCTTGTAAAGGCGGGATTATAATATTAAGTTTGCATATATTTAAGGATTTAATATAATGGCAGGTAATTTGCATTAAGTTGCAAATGAAAGGGTTACTAAACATGAAAAAAGCTTTTAAAGCCTTCCTTCCAAGAAGGAAGAGAAGAAAAAAAGTAAAATCAGAGAAATTCGACGATGACATAAGTCGTTCAATATTCATTTGAATTTCTCTGATTTTAATTGAAACATTTAACTTATCCTTTTCGTTCAGTTTTCTACTGTTTCCATAACGTTTCTAGATTTACGTTAAGCTTTCTAGAGTTTCTACAAGTTTTCTAGATTTTCGTTATGTTAACGTAGTAAGTAAACGTACGAATTAAATTTCTTTAAGGGTTTCTACAAGTTTCCAGATTTGCCTTAAGTTTTTAAATTCACATTGAAGCTTTTTTCGATTTTCAAAACTTTCTATTAGATTTCAAAAGTTTCGATAAGTTTTCAAAGGTTAGATTGTGGCTGTTTACGTTTCGTTAATGTTTATAAAATGTTTTATGA